CTTATGAAAAAACTCCAAGGATCTAAGTTTGATGTCATTCTCGCAGATGCCATAGGTCCCTGTGGTGAGCTGCTGGCAGAACTGCTTAAGACACCTTTGGTATACAGTCTCCGCTTCTGTCCTGGAAACAGATATGAAAAGTACAGTGGGGGGCTTCCACTCCCCCCTTCCTATGTGCCTATGGTTCTGTCAGAATTAAGTGACCATATGACATTTGTGGAAAGGGTGAAGAATATGTTACAAGTGCTGTATTTTGACTTTTGGTTCCAAACATTTAATGAGAAGTCCTGGAGTCAGCTTTACAGTGATGTTCTAGGTAAACTGGGCCTTTCATTGTTACTGGGAAATTCTGACTTGATGTTACTTTGAATGAGAATGTGTAAGGTGAATATAAAGTCATAGAATGAGATTGTTCATTGTGAGCTGATCAAGTAAAACTAGAAAACAAGAGAGAGCCTCAAAACAAGGAAAATACTGTAGAGTAACTGATCAGAACACTACAGATTCATAATTTGCTACCTCAACTCTCTGTGTAGCACTGAAGAAAACACATCCCCTTAAAAATTAAAACATCTATCAAGTATATCATGAAAAGATTTTCATAATTAGATAGTATCACTAGAACCAGAAACAGTTAAGGCAACTTGCTTTTCTAAGAATTTCAAATGTCTCAAATCTGTAAAAGTTATGTCTTAAAGCCTTAAATCTGGCTACAAAATGCATTTTTTATTGATTTGTTTTGAAAATATCTTTCTTTTCATTAAATAAAGTACTACCTAAATTAATAGTAGAAAGAGTTTAAATGTTAACTATTTATGCAAATATACATGAAAATGTATATAGTAGACTAAATATTCTATGAGAGCTGGTTTTCTAATTATTTTCAAGCTTCTTTGCAAGACACAAAATATTTCAAAATCATGGATACAACTTTGCAAATCAATGGAATTTTCACAAAATTAATATTTTTGTTAATATGATATCATAAGTCATAATTGAAACATCTTAAATTGCTTGTCTACATGATCTCAGATCATAGAAATCACCTGCTATATTTCAGACAAACTTCCTTAACTATTGTATATTTTTATGTTTTGGGAGTGCAGGGAGACCCACTACATTAACTGAGATGATGGGGAAGGCAGACATATGGCTCATTCGAACCTTCTGGGACTTGCAGTTTCCTCACCCTTTCTTGCCTAATTTTGACTTTATTGGAGGATTCCATTGCAAACCAGCCAAACCACTGCCTAAGGTAACCCTATGTTGTTTCTCTTGATGAACAGTTTTTCCTTTTTCATGGAAACAATTCTTCATCAGATGTTTCTTTTCTTTCCAGATGTTTGGTTTCCTGAGAGGTATAAAAAGTGAATTAGAGCTCTCTGACAATTGACATATATAATATTTTCTTACATATCTGTGTCTCACTACTGTTAAACAAAGTGTCAAATCACTTTAGAATGTGGTCAGTGATTTAAGGATGTTTAGGAAACTCATAAAAAATAATTTATCTTCTCTTTGATAACATATACTAAAAGCCAGAGATGTATTGAACAGCTAAAGAAACAAAGAATCAATTTCTTCATTAAAGAGAAATTATATTCTACTTGAAAATATTATACTCATGATGAACTATTGTATACAGTGTAATAAATGTTGTGTATTATATAATTAGAGATAGATAGTAAGTTAAAGAAATATCCAACAGAGATCAGAGGTAATCTCCTCAAACCCTTGTGTTGTTTCATTGCCTGGCCAGTGTACAGGGTGAGATTAGCAGATGAAAAGAAGAGAGAGGAAAACAGATAAATTTCAAGAACTCCAGACTTAACTAACGAGGTTATAACATGGCATGCAGGCGGTGTTAGACAGCTTCATGTGTCTGTGTTCCACACACGGCTCCCTTTTACATGTTCCACTTCCTTGTAGTCTTTCTACATTTAGGTCTTGTAGGTATTTTGATTTTGTCTTTGTAGTTTCCACATATAAAAAAGAAAACAACACTGATATTTCTGTGTCTGGCTTGCTCCTTAGCATCATGTACACTAAAAATAGCTATTTACCTAAGATTATATAATAATAATGTTTTTACTATCTGGGTAAAACATTATTATATACTGTATACTTACCAACACCTTTTCACATCAATCAGTTGAAGAATAAGCTAATTCTATATTAGAGGCACTGTGAATAGCAATGTAATAAACATTATGTGGATTTTTTTCTTTGCAACTCTTTCCCTCAGAAATCACCAAAGAGTGGCATAGGTTAACTGTATATATATATTACTAATGTTACTTATAAGAAGAAAATTATGTATGTTTTTATATTGATATCATTTGACATTTCCAACAATGATAAATGCATAAGTATTCAACTTCCATAATATCTGTAAGAACATTTTTATATTATTTAAATTGTTGTAATACTCATTATAACTGGATTATGAAGGAATATTGACATACATCATCGAATTGATTTTTTCTGATAGCTAAAATTATTGAAAATTTTTTCAGATAATTGAAGGATACTTCCATCTGAATCTACTTTAGATCATTTGCCTAAACTGATTAAATTCTTTTTTCTTTTTATATTAGAGAGGTTTTTTTTCCTGAAATCTTATTTTTTTTCTATTTTTTATTGGATATTGTATTTATTTACAGTTCAGATGTCCAATAGTCCAGCAAAGAATGTCCCTATACCATCCCCCCTCCTCCTTTTTGCTTTCAAGCCATTTTCATTATATTAAAGTACTAAGGTCAGTTCTAGGTCGAGGACCTAGCAATACAATAGATGCAAATAGTCAAGGAACAAGCAAGACAATAAACACAAAGAGTCAAAGAATAAGCAAGAAACTAGACAAAGTTCTGGGATGACTCCCTTGATCACTATTTCTCAGGGCTTATCAGGATGACCAAAATATCTCAGCCTACTTCCCTGTCCTAGCCCAAAGTCAATTTCATGCCTGAAATTACTTCTTTGTTTCTGCCTAAGATTTAGATTCCTGCCTGAACTTAATTCTTTGTTCTAGCCTAAAATTTAGATTCATGCCTAAAATTACTTCTTTGTTCTAGACTAATGTTAAACTCCTTCCTGAAGCCCATTTCCTTTTCCTTGACCCATGTCAGATTCTTGCCAAGCAACCTCAAAAGCTCTTCCCCTCTCCCCTTTTTTTTATTCCATAAACAAGACTGAGCCTGTCTTAGGTTATTCTGACAAGAATACCTTCTGTACCCTTTGTGGAATGTACACTATCAAAAGCAATGGACTTCTGTCTAAGGTTGGTAAGGCTCTGTTCAGAATATTACCAGTCCTTTAAGTTCTAGTTAGTTGAATTGATAACTCTGTCGGGGGGTCCATTTTCAGTGTGAAGCCATGTACTTTAGCTGCCAACATGTTTATTTTGTTAAAGGCAAGCTTTCACACGATGGGCAGGAATAAAAGTATTCCAAAAACAAAAGGAACTACCATGCTCAAGCTGTGTATGCCATACTTGAAGCTTGACTAAAATGTGAACGCTGACTTCAGGCCACAGGTAATGTTATCAACAACATCTACAGCATCAATGATTAGTGGAGCAGCATTCTTTAAATTCATAAGCTCACTATGCAAAGTTAAAACGTGCAGGGAGGTATTAGAATTATCCCAAATACCCCTGAAAATGTCTTTCAACTTTTTGAAAATTAAAATGACTATCTTTGTTAATTTAGAAGTAACAGAATTCAAATGGTATTTGACATGACACTCGGCCATAATGGCTCCTTACCCTTAAACTCTGAACCACCTTCCAATAATTTGAATAGGATGAAGAGCATCAATCCATTGTTCCAAATGCCTATCTAAAACCTCCTGTATGCTCAACACATTAGTAAAACTTTTTGCTAAATGATTAACAAAAGTAGCTGCCTGCACTTCTTGTGTCAAAGCAATTGCAGAAGCAGTGGCGATAGCAATTAATGAATTATAGCTGTTATACCAGCAATAATCAAGGCCTCTTGATTCTGCTTAAAACCTGACTCAGTTCTTCCAACACTTGCAAGTTTTTTTCAGAATACCAAAGTCCTGTAATACACAGACGATAAAATAAAAGCTCTTTGAAAGACCTCTGTGACAGATGCCAGTTTTCAACACAGTAACACAATTAATAGTGTATAATCAATTCAACTTACATTAAATACTCTAGAAGAAACAAAAGTAATTTTAACTTGAAAATTAAAAGAGCCTTAACACATGCACTAACACTTGTTTGAAATCCAGATCCTGTACCAACTTTATCTTTTGCTGACATAATCTCATAGAGAACTGCAGCTAACTTCCAAATATGTCTCTGAAAATGTCCATAACCAGCTTTCCAAATGAAGATTATTTAAAATGTACTACAGATAATTTCTCTCTTTTCAATGTGAAAATAAAATAATTAAATTAACTTATTTATCTATATCCCAAATGCTGCCTACCTCCTGGTCCCCCTCTTAGACTTCCTATCTCATTTCACATCAACCTCTCTCCCTCCCTCCCTTCCTTTCTCCTTTTCATTCCCTCTGTCACTGCTCCTCCCTCTGATTTCCCTCAAAGAAATCACCAAAATGAAAATGAAAGGAATGGACTTAAAAGTAATAAACCCAAAAATATGCAAGCAAACAAAAGGAGAGAAAAAAACTTGAAGGATAAAAAGCATGCCTTTTATTTTTGGATGGCTAAATACTCCTCAGTTTTTGGTCTGCTCGGGTGCATGATTGATTTACCCAGTCACTCTCTATTAGGGAGAACTGATTTAACCCATTTTTATCAGATGTCAATTGCAAATAGCTTCTTAGTTAAAAATGGAAATCCATGACCATTTTCTACTCTCAGTGCTGGACTTCATCTGACTTAATGTGTGACTGTTTTAGACATGTTTCTACAGTCTCTATGAATTTATATGTGCATCACTCTTATTGTACCTGGTCGACACTAAGATGTCATCCATCCCTTTTGCTTTTATAATCTTTCTCCCTCCTTCTCAAGTTGTTTTTAAAATACCTCCTAATGATCCTCTAAATTTCAGTCACCTCTCGACTAACAATACTTTTTTTTCCTCTAGCTTTTTAACTTTGGTCAATTGTACTAATAGTACAAATGCACTCTCCATGAACGCTGAAGACTGAGGCACTGAAGATACTCACTTGTCTTCCCAAAATAATTCCCATAATTTCGTGAATTCCTCTGGTAATATTTGTCTCAGTCCTTTAGACAATGCTACCCATGCAGCTATATATTTGTGATGTCACAACTATCTTTGTAGGAAATGGAAGAATTTGTTCAGAGCTCTGGAGAACATGGTGTGGTGGTGTTTTCTCTGGGATCAATGGTTAAAAACATGACAGAGGAAAGGGCCAATGTAGTTGCTTCTGCTCTTGCCCAGATTCCACAGAAGGTAAGAGAAAGTGTCCACTAGGTTCACAAATGTATTATAAGACTGTTAAAGACAGACAGTGGTGGCGCACTCCTTTAGTCCCAGAAGTTGGGAGCCAGAGGCAGGCAGATTTCTGAGTTTGAGGCAAGCCTGGTCTACAGAGTGAGTTCCAGAACAGCCTGGGCTATAAAGAGAAACCCTGTCTCGAAAAAACAAAGAAACAAAAAACAATAAGACTGTTGAAAACTGACAGGATTACAGTAGGGAAAATTCCTATGAAAAATAAAGCAACTGGCCATTTCTTATGCATCTCAAACACCATATTAAAAAGAAAATTATGAATTGCATAGGATAGAATATTAGTCTGTTTCTGATTCACATCATGACCTGAAAGATCACACTTAGATTCAGCATGGTTGTGCATACCTGATATGCTGATGCTTAGAGATCTGAGGTAGGACTTTTTCTTCATATTTACCACCAGTTTTCGCTTCATGTTGGTTCCAAAGCTCTTCTGGGCTATTCCATTGGTCAATGTCTCAAAAGAAGTGAGAGAAAAAGATAAGTAAGAGAAAGAAAGGTTGGCAGGAAGGAGAAACAGGAGGAGGAAATACAATAATGGGGAATACTATGCTGGGGCTGAAGAGATACATCAGTGATGCATTAAGAGCACAGGCTGCTCTTCCAGAGGAACTGGGCTTCATTGCTAAGATTTACAGAGTAGCTCACAAGTGTCCCCAACTCAATTGCCAGGGAATCCAATGTGCTCTTCAAACCCACGAGTAGAACAATCACAGTGCAGAGAATTACATGCAGGCAAAAGATCCACATACAAAAAAAAAAAAAAAACGAAACAAATATGTCTGTAAAGAAAGAGTAAAAATATGTTCTTCCTAATCACTGATGTAGGAAAATATAAGAAAACAGATGAAAAAAGGTCCTGACCCTGATGTGGGACCAGGATTACAAAATTATGAGCTCATCAGGAGCAATTCTGTTTCCAGAACATCAAGTAAGCTTGTTTTTCTGGATGGTGAAAGAGGTTTGAATTTAAGAAGAGTCATGTGTAAACTATGATAACGTAGGAAGAATCTAGCAGCTGCCACTCCATTAATTGTATTATTGAACGACTTTCAAACAGTAGCAGTGTTTGGATGTTTGCAAGCTAAATTCACTCTATTACTTGATACCAGTTTCTCCAGTTTTATTTATTTTACTAAACTCAAAGCATGCAGAAGTAAAGACTCACAGTTCACATTCCAATTTGTGAGGTTTCTTTTTACTTTAAAACTCTGTTTGATACTAAACATGAAATGTATTCAGAACAAAAGAAAGCATATCTTCAATATTCCTGGAGACATTTTTCCGTGGACAGTCTTTAAACAATTTTATCTGAAAAAAAGAAATTAAATTCTGGATAATAAAGAAATTATTTTTAGAAATAGTAAATTATACCATATCATATGTTATAAGTCAAAAAAACTAAATTATAATAAAGACCCTAAGAAACATGAAAATATAGGTAAAATAGTGTGCTTATGACTTAAAAATATGTATCATTGAGAATATATATGATGTGTACATATATCCTATATATTGCATTATGTTTGAAATATACATAATCATAAACTATTACTAATTGACCGTGGTTTTGACAATAAGGATCATATTAACTGACTAAAATTTTTGTGTATACATGAATTTGTCACTAATTATCAGACATATAAAATGAGTATAATTAAATGTCATCCTCAAGATATTATGAAACCTTGTACAAAAAAATGTATTATTTATTTCCACCTTTTTCTATCTCATGATATTTTAGATGTTCACTGTTTCAAATTTCATTCTCCATCATCTGGATAATGTTCAACAGAGTAATCTCAGTTTCCCAGAATCAAAATATACCAAAGCCTTGAGGTCTCTGTAATTAAATAAGGTACTGTCTGTGTGTAACAGGTTCTGTGGAGATTTGATGGTAAGAGACCAGACACCTTAGGATCCAACACTCGTCTGTACAAGTGGATCCCCCAGAATGACCTTCTTGGTAAGGCAAATGTCACTACAGGTTTGTGGCTGTAATAATATACTTATTTGAGAACAGCCCCCTCTGAGCCTTCATATTTCCCCTCTCTTTAATAATATGATCAATAATTATGTAAAACTTCTTCTCACCACAGGTCACCCAAAAACCAAAGCTTTCATAGCTCATGGTGGGACCAATGGCATCTATGAGGCGATCTATCATGGTGTTCCTATTGTTGGTATTCCCTTGTTAGCGGATCAGCCTGATAATATTAACCACATGGTAGCCAAGGGAGCAGCTGTTAGAGTGGACTTCAACACACTGTCAGCTACAGACCTTCTCACTGCCTTGCGGACTGTCATTAATGACCCTTCGTGAGTCTGTTTGCTTGTTTGCTTGCTTGCTTGCTTGTTTATTTGTTTGAAACTGTTTTTTAAGATAGATGTCTTCTTCTTTTTTTTTTTTTTGGAACATAGTCTTACTACAAAACCACAGGACCAGACATGAACTCATATGACTCTGCCTGCTTCAGCCTGCTGAGTGTTGGGATTGAAAATATGTGCACTCATATACATGTGAATAACTATTTCTTTAAAAATAATGATAGATTCACATCATCATCAGATTGATTTCTATCCTGTTTGAAAAAGAATGATTTTGAAAAACTTTGTTATTTCACATATCTGAAAGTTGTGATTATAAATGATAAAGTTACTCTAAATTTATATTTCAACAAATGAGACATGGTTAGTCTGAACCTATTCTATATACATAGATAATATCACAAATATATATTTATAGGTAACAAGGAAACTACTTCTAAATATAATAGAATAATACATAATAAAGTAATCATGAATCTTAATCTTGATGAAAGGGTAAATATTTACCAATATTTTCTGAAGTTATAAAACTTTTGGTAAAACTTTATTTTACTTCTATAATGATATGCAATATTGCATATATAGTACTAAAGGTGAGAGACAATATTAAATTCTTACCATACCTGGAGAACACTATGGGTAGTTTCAAGATTTTCCAGTATAAAAAATGTACTTAATCAGAAGATCCAGAGTCACAATAACAGGAAAAAGTGCTGCTAGTTCTTCAACACAGAGTCTCTTAGTCCAGGAACAAAATTGCATTGCTTTTATTCTGGTGAGAATACTGGTGAAACTTTTGGGCAAGGAAGAATCATAACTCAACAGGTGTTTTCAAAAAAAAGACTCTAATTATAAAAAGGAATTAGGAAACAGGCAGAAGAGAATAGTAGAAACTGAAACTAGAGTGGTGATGTCCAACATGGCATATGACCCTATACAGATTAAGATAATTCTGTGTCTACTTCCCTTCTTGGTCTTAAACCATGTGTTACATGTTGTAGATACACAAATACATACAAAAGATTGCTTATCCTTACTAACTTTCTCTTACCAATAAATATTGCTCAACTATAAAAGTCCAATTTAAAATAAATATTCTATGGAAATGGAGTCAAAACAAGCCAGCATATATAACTGAGAAACTGTGTCCACTGTTAAGCAGCTAATTAGTTGGAAGTGCATGCAGGTCATTAAGTACTTCCAAACCAGTGTCAGCTACACACCAAGTTCAGAAAAAGCCTATGCTAAAGAAATGTGTTTCATTGGCCTCCCTATCACTCAACTCTCCTCTCTGAAACCTTATAAAAGAGCATTTGTGTGGCAAGTCTATGTGATTTATTTTGAGTTCCTTGTAGGACTTAATCCCAACTAAACAAATGTTAGGTAAGTCGGCAAATTAGCATCTCTTTCATTTTAGTCATATATCTTGTCACTGCAGCTATAAAGAGAATGCCATGAGATTATCCAGAATCCAACGTGACCAGCCAATGAAGCCCCTGGACCGGGCTATCTTCTGGATCGAGTATGTCATGCGCAACAAAGGAGCCAAGCACCTTCGCCCAGCTCTGCATGACCTTAACTGGTTCCAGTACCACTCTCTGGATGTGATTGGGTTCCTGTTGGTCTGTTTGATAGCTGTGGTATTCATCATCACAAAATGTTGCCTCTTTTGTTGTCATAAGACTGCTAATATGGGAAAGAAGAAAAAAGACTAGTTTCAAGAAGCCTGAAGCAAAGATTCCTGAAAGATGAGCCTCTGCCAGCTGCTTCCAGTGAGAACCTGTTGTCAGTCCAGGTGCCTTCCCTCTGAAACAGGAGAGTATTAGGACTTCATTCAAGATAGCTCTCATAAATTCACTCTATGTTGAAGACATGCAAGATTTCATGCCAGATATACACTCGGTGTTCTAAAAGCCAAATTATGTGTTCAGTTTAGAATGTTTTGATGTAACTGAGGAGCTATGCCCAACAAAATCACTAGGACACTATGGTTCACAAAATTTGCATGAGCATAAAGACTTTGCGCAACACCTATCAATTACCATAACAAATGCCAGGCCGGCTATAACTTCATTTAGTAGTTTCTTTTTCTTTCTTCCTTGTTTTTCTTTCTTTCACTAATCATAAATAATAATGTTTGTATGACACACTTTTGAAATAGACACGTTTGCATCTGTATGGGCGGAGTCAATCGTTCTGGTTATTTTACAATACACAGATCTCACCCAACTCCAAATTATTTTGCCAGTTGTGTCAATTATTGCTCTAATATAGCCAACATATTTCTACTGAGGTTGGTAAAAATCCTGGGTTTCTAAACATCAGGGATAAAGCAGCAAACAGCAGTGATTTCATAGAATAATGAGAGGTTGGAAAACTCGTTTGTCCCTTCACTGACAGCTTGTGCCCCACTATATTAAGTTTCTCCTGGACAGATACCATGCTTTAGTCATCTTATCTTCATACTTCAAAACAACACAGCATAGTCTTCCATACAATCACACAAGCCTTATATTGAATCCTACCAGCAAATCTACTTATCCTAACCGCAGTTGAAGGTCAACATGTAGAACACCTATTTATTATTGGACAACTGGCCTCCATTAGCTACCCCTCAATTATACTAATCCTAACCATTCTTGGGAATCATTAAAGACAAATCACTAAAATGAAGTTTATGCCCTGATAATATATTACTTTGGTCTTGTAAACTAAAAATGAGGAAATTAGCCTCTCAAGGCATCAAGAAGAAACACCAAATTCCTACCATCAGCACCCAAAGCTGATATTCTACTTAAATTACTTCCTGAAACAGTACATATAATTATATAGTACAATAGAACACTTATGTATATCATACATTAAATTATTTCCCCTAGCAAATAGGCAAGTAAATTAAATTAATGAAATAGGATATTAATTCAATATCAACCCTAAAATCTCATTAAAACATGTCTATTAAGAACTAACATTTTAATTAATGTTTTGAGGACATATCTGTGTTATTCAATATACACCATTAAGTCATAAACTCTTCTCTTCCATATGACTATCCCCTTCCACATTTGGTCTATGTCTCTACCATCCTCTATGAAACCAATAACACAAACATCAATGCCCCTCTTCTCACTACCAGCACACTAAACTTGGAGATAGCTAAACTAAAACTTTATCAGACATCTGGTTGTTATTTCAGGGCTATCAATTACTCTATCATCCATATAGTTGCCTTAGGACATCTCAATGGGAATGGGTCTAATTAGCCAAAGCCCTCTATAACTGTGGTGCCATGCATTTGGTATTTTTTAACTTTTAGGATGCTGTGACTGAGCATAGCTGTCAAGGCATGAAGAGCAACTTATTATGTCAGTCAAGTATAATCCACCTAACCAAATCACCAAAGAATGTATTTTAACGATTGTAGGACATACAATTTTACTGTCCTCAAATTACACTGACCAACCCCCCTTCCTCCTTCCCAACTTTGATACCAAACCCCAAAAATATCAAAGACATAAAAACTTAAATTTCATATGAATATATTCTATTCTAGTAGTCCAAAAAATATGACTTATAATTTAGCATTAATTAGAATTTTATAAAAACTAAACTTCACCTTGCTACACCTTATTTAATCATATTCTTCACAATAAAATCATATTATCAAGTTAATGTAGCTTAACAGTAAAGCAAAGCACTGAAATGCTTAGATGCATAGTTAATGCTATAAACACAAAGGTTTGGTCCTGGCCTTATATTTAATTGAAGGTAAGATTACACATGCAACTATCCATAAACCGGTAAAAATCCCTTAAACATTTACTCAAAATTTAAGGAGAGGGTATCAAACCCATTAAAATACCTTAAAAACTACCTTGCCTAGCCACATCCCCAAGGAACTCAGCAGTGATAAATATTAACCAATAAATGAAAGTTTGACTAAGCTATGAATCTCAAGGTTGGTAAATTTCGTGCCAGCCACTGCAGTCGTACAATTAACCCAAACTAATTATTTTTGGCATAAAACGTGATGATTATAAATTAGACAAATAGAATTAAAATTCTACTTACATGTGAAAATTCATCGTAAGGACCTAAACTCACCAATGAAAGTAATTCTAATCATTCTATACTACACGATAGCTAAGATCAAAACTGGGATTAGACATTCCACTATGCTTAGCCCGAAACTTAAATAATTAAATAACAAAAATATTTGCCAGAGAGCTACTAGCTACAGCTTACAACTCAAAGGACTTGGTGGTCCTTTATATCCATCTAGAGGAACCTGTTCTGTAATCAATAAACCCCTCTCTACCTCACCATCTCTTGCTAATTCAGCCTATATACCGCCATCTTCAGAAAGTCCTAAAAAGATACTAAAGTAAGCACAAGAACAAACATAAAAACGTCAAAGTGTAGCCAATGAGATGGAAATAAATGAGCTAGGATCTCTTTTAAAAGAACATCAACGACACCTTTTATCAGATTCAAGGATAAAGGAGGATTTAGTAGTAAATTAAGAATAGAATAATTGAATTGGACAATGAAGTACACACAAAACCCATCATTCTCCTCAAAGAAAATTTATTAAGCCATAAATAAAACTTTAATAATCTATTTATGAGAGGAAATAAGCCATGATGAGGTAAGCATACTGGAAACTGTCCTTGGAATAATCACAGTGTAGCTTAATATCAAAGAATCTGGCCTATACCCAGAAGAATTTATAACAAATGAACACTTTAAATTAATTCTAGCCTTAACATCCATTAATATAATAATATTACTATATAAATCAAAACATTTAACCTAATAAAAGTATTGGAGAATGAAAATATCCTTAATGGGAGCAGTAGAATATTAAGTGCCACAAGGGAAAGAGGAAAGATTAATTAAAGTATAAAACAAGCAAAGATAAAGCCTTGTACCTTTTGCATAATGAATTAACTAGGAAAAAAATCTAACTAAAAAAATGACAGTTATAAACCCTGAACCAAACAAGATACCTAAAAACAAATTTATGAATGAACCCATCTATGTAGCAAAATAGTGGGAAATTTTGAGGTACAGGTGAAAAGCCTACCAAGCATGGGGATAACTGTTTACCCAAAAAATGAATTTCAGTTCTACTTCAAGTTTACTATAATAACATAAAGTCTAAATTATAGCCAAAAGAGGGAAAGCTCTTTAGGTATGGAAAACATCTTAAATAGAGAATAAACTAGTACTTAATTTAACAATTGTAGGCTTAAAAGCAGCCATCAATAAAAAGAGTGTTCAAGTTCAAGTTTAAATACAATTAATCTGACCATTCATGATAAAATTCTGTTATTAATTGAGTTACTCTATTATTTTATAGATGAAACACTGTGAATATGAGTAACAAGAATAATGATTCTCCAAGCACAAGTGTATCACAACTCAAATAACCATTGTTAGTTATAGGACAAAAAGTGACAACCCTCTAATTAAATTACCTAAAATTAATGTCTTAGTAAAGGAGTACTTTAAGGAAAAATTTAAAAACTAAAAGGTGTGAGGCAGAATCTCAGAGCTGTTTTCATTTGCATTTCCCTCAAGACTAATGATGTTGAACATTTCTTTAGGTGCTTCTCAGCCATTCGATATTCCTCACTTAAAAATTCTTTCTTGAGCTCTGTACTCCATTTTTAATAGAGTTATTTGGAAGAACAGATTGATGCTCTTTATCCTATTCAAATTACCAGAAGGAGTTTCAGAATTTAAGGGTAAGGAGCCATATCAAGTGTCATGCCAAATACCATTGGATTCATGTTAGTTCTACAATTTGCAGTGGTAGTCACTATAATTAGGAAAAAGTTTAAAGATCCTTGCAGTGTATTTGCCATAATTCTAACACCTTTATGAATGTTTTAACTTTACATAGTGAGCTTATAAATTTCAAGAATGCTGCTCTGCAGAGCGTTGATGTGGTAGATACTGCTGATAAAACTACCCATGGCTTATGGTCAGTATTTCTATTTTGGTCAATCTTCAAAATGGCATATATAGCTTGATCATGCTAGCTCTTTTCATCCTGGAATACTTTTATTCCTGTCCATCTTGTTAAAGCTTGTCTTTAACAACAACAATTTGGCAGCCAAAGTACATGGCTTCAACCTGAAAATGGACCCTCATACAGAAATCTAGATTTTAGGCTAAAACAAGGAAATAGACTTCAGACAGGGAAATGACTTTGGGCTAGTACAGGAAAGTTGACTCAGATGTTTTGGTCATTCTGATAAGCCCTTAGAAACAGTAATTATTGAGAATTCAAGGAATTTTGTTTATTGCCATGCTTGTTCTTTGACTATTTGTGTTTATTGTCTTGCTTGTTCCTTAACTATTTAAATTTACTGTATTCCTAGTCCCTCAAACTAGAACTGACCTGAATAATTGCATGCAATTAAAATTCTATAAAAGCAAGAAGGAGGAGGGAGGAACGGATAGGGAGTTCTAGGGAGGCAAAATGTGGAAAGGGGAATAACATCTGAAATGTAAATAAATAAAATATCAAATAAAAAATAAATAAATAAAAGGAACTCAGCAAACCCAAACACCACCAGTTTACCAAAAACATCACCTCTAACATAACAATTGTTAGAGGCATTGCCTGCCCAGTAACTAAACTTAAATGGCCAAGCTATCCTGATTGTTCAAAGTTAGCAAAATCACTTGCTTCTTAATTAGGGACTAGTATGAATGTCTAGACAAAGAATCAACTGTCTCTTATTTTTAATCAGTGAAATTAACCTTCCAGCAAAGAGGTTAGAATAATATAATAAGACAAAAAGACCCTATAGAGCTTAAATTAATTAGCTTAATTATTATTAATTAACCTAATTGATAAAA